CTTGCCCTGGGTTCCTCTGGACCAGCTGGGTGCATCCCGTGCTGGCTGCCTGTCCTGTGGTTAGGGGTTGGGCCAGACACCTGGGTTCTTCTGGATGCAGGCTTCCGTGATGGCGGAGGGGTGTGGGCGGGGTCTCTCTCCTCCCCTGAGGCTCCACTGGGGCTCCCTCAGTGATGAAGGGGCAGTGAGTAGCTGGGGTCTGTCTTCCCCCTTGTGGCTCACAGAGACTCTGGGGGATCTTTTTGCCTTGGGAAATACTCTTGAAGAAAGTTAGAAGACATTATGAGACCAATAGATAGGTTTAGTGACAGCCATGAGCTTTCATTTGAACATCTCAAGCAGGAGGGTCTTTTGCTAGGACCAGGAGCCTCCCCTTGGCTCCACCCCACGTATCCACATGATTGCTAAGAAACACTTGGGCTTTCATTTCTCTAGGTGCCAAGGTCAGTGCTAACAACTGTTGAGTCACTATTTCATGTTCAATTTCAACATTCATTACATAAGAAAAGTTATTCTGCTACTGTGTGTGGTGTGTCCCAGAGACAGATTCTTGTGTGCCATGAACAAAGAATTGCAAGTGTATACCCAGCAGTAAATGAACAAGCAGTGACACTTGTTGTAATTAAGGGGAGGGTGTGCTCGGGGTGTGAGAGTCATGCCAATGGAAACAGAAAGATGGCTCCAACTAGAAAAAGGGTACCAGAGCAGCGGGCTATCAGGAAGAAGAACAATAAGTCAGGCTTTTGTATTTAAAAGATATGTGCCCAGCCCTGGGTGTCTCTCATCGGATCTCTCTGAATGCAATTGACAGAAACAGGTCACAGGGTGCTGGTCCTCTTGGGTGTGTCTAGTATGTGCGACTCTCCTGCAGTTCAATTGGTTTTGATTGTAGGCGTTATGTGCAGGCACTATGTGTGAATCAGTAGGAAAGTTCAAGAAGGGAAAAGGCTATTGCTGGTCAAGCTGTGGCGTCTTACCTGCACGTGTCCTGGCCTGGAGCTCCAGAGATTTCCTGGGTGTTTGTTGCTTATATTTCTCTTAGGACAAGGGAAGGAGGATTGGCCATGGGGTGTTGCCCAAGTACAGATAGATAGGGAGGGAGTGGCCCCACAGCCTCAGACGCATACTAACCCTAATTCATATACCATTAGAGAATCAGAATCAAATTCATATCAAATATTGTGATAGCCCCTGTTGATAACTGACTTCTTCCTCCCAAATTATACTGAATTTCTGGGAAACAAGTAGGAAGAAAAAAAATGTAAGTAAATGGATTCTCCTACACTCTTGATTGGTCTTCTAGAGTTGTTTGTGTATACTCTCTATATCGTGAACTTGAACAGTGAACTCTTCTTCACTGCGTGTTTTGTAATAGGGCTTTTAACAGTCTTTTTCCAGCGGTTCGCATTGCTTGCATTTGGGAGAGGCACATTTGCCTCCTTGTGCTAAGCCAGCCACATCATATCCACATCTTGGGGATACTGTTGGAGCTGTCTTTTGATTTGTTAATTAGCATCACCATATTCATGAGCACCCTGAGACCCATCATTGGACCCATTGGATGGAAACAGGCCACGATCCCAGGAACCTTGGCCACTGTGTGTCTTCATGTGACGAGTCCCAGGGACTTAGAAAGTGAAGGCTAATGGAGCATTTACTTCCCAAAATGTCCCCACTTGGAGCTCCTCTAATCCCGAAGGACTCAAAACTCGTTTCAAAACCATCTGTACCTCTTTAGCTGCAGAGCGGATTATGACTTTCTTTGTGTACTCAAAAGCAGTTGCTAGCCCCATGTGGTATACTGCTAGTCCTTGAGAGGGTGTAAGGCAGGGGAATCAAACTTGAGGACAGCCCAGGCACCTTAGTGACTTAGCGGGACCTTTTCTCAAACTGAAAAGTAAAAAAGGAATTGGAGTTGTAGCTCTGTGTGAAGGACTTGGGTCAGTGCTGGTGAACCTATGGTAATTGTACTGCAATGGGTTGTTTGTATCATTGAAAGCTCTAGAAAGTTTGCCGTTACTGAGCTAGATTTAATCTCCAGTACCAGAGGTGTGTGTGTGTGTGTGTGTGTGTGTGTGTGTGAGAGAGAGAGAGAGAGAGAGAGAGAGAGAGAGAGAGAGAGGTGGTGAGGTGGGGCAGGAGAAGGTGGGGCAAGAGAAGGGCAGAGGAGGGGTGGGGGACAGCTAAAGGAGAGGGAGAAAAGGGGAGGGGAGGGGAGGGGAGAAGAGAGGAGAAAAAAGCAGTCGCTGCTCCAGAGCTGCTCCAAGATGGTTCAGAGGCGTGAATGGGTGGACCCAGGGGCTGTGTCATTGCAGGGCTGGGACTTTCCAGGCAGCAGAGTCTGCTCGCCTCCCCAGGCTCGCACCTGCTGGGAGCTGGGGTGCTGGAGAAACAACCACCAGCTTCATCGGATGAGGTCACCTGGTGACTCAGTGGGGAGCGGGAGCATCTGTCCCTCCCTCTGTCCCTCTGCACAGGTGGCAGTGCAGTGTCCCAGCGAGAAGGAAGGTGCAGACCCCCCCCCCCACACACACACCCAGTGGCTCCCTTCTGCCTGTGGCTTGTTAGATGCTCGATTCTAAGTATTACACAATGGGCAACATTTTTTTTTTTTTTCCATAACGGCAGAAAGACTTTCTTTTCTTGCTTCCAGGAGGAAGTATAATTCAGCTTGGCATAGATAAATATTTTCTACTAAGAGCCACTTTCCAATTAGAAATAGCTGGGAGAAGTGGTTAAGAAATATCATTTCTCCGTGGTACTTTTAGGTTTTTCCAGGAGCAAGAGTGAGTACAGACACAAGAGGCCATCTGAGTGCCCCCCTGCTGTTGTCATGTGGGTGTCTCACCCCGGTAACTGCTCCCACCTACCCTTTTTTGGTGAGCAGATGAGCAGATTAACCACCTGTCCCCAGGCCACTCTACCCAACCTCAGAGCCCTGCTAGAGAGTGAATTCTGGAGGGAAAGGACCCGTGCGTCCACGGTGGCCTGGCTGTGGGACCTGGGCCAACTCACTCTTGCCTCTCTGCTCCTCAGTGTCCTCATTTCTTCACGGAGATTGATCTCTACCAGCCGGCCTTTGTAAGGATCAAGGCTGAGCTTCGGAGCAGGGCCTCATGTCCCCTGTCCTTCAGCCTCGCAGAGGTCTCCACTGTTGCATCTGGCGCAGAGCATGTAGTGCCTAAGTGCTCCTCCTGCTTTGCTTTGCCAAGTCCTACCTCGAAAGCACATATACCTTTTCACCTCGGAACTTCTTGTGAGACCTTTGTCACTTGCCTCAGGCACCCCCACCACGTGTGCCCGGCAGCCACCTCTGTGCACGCAGCTCTTTTGAAGCTGCGGTCTTCACCAACCTTATCAGGAAAGGTGTGGAGCACCCAGATGCCTCCTGCACGCCCCTGTGGTTTCCTTGAACTAATCCTCCTCGCCACAGCCTTGGTTGTGGCTGTTACCAGATGGTGGCTTAGCTCACTTTCGTGGTGCACCCACCCTAGCCTAGGTTTTCCTTTGTGGGGGCCCCGAGGCCAGGCGGGTTTCTTTGCTCTGGTTGACCCTCTCTCTGCTGCTCCTGTTATGCTCAGGAGCACAATGCTGGCTTAGCGCTTGGCTTCTCCCCTCTCTGGGATCTTGCCTGCCTGCGATTCAGGATCCCATGCCATGAGGGCATTGGTGAAAATCAGTACCGCATCAGGTACTTGGTGGGGAGTGTGCAACCTACCCTTTAGGTGCAGAGGAGGCCTTGTTTGCCTTTCCTGTCTGACCTCCCTTGTACTATAAAAGCCACTAGGGGGATGGGGAGATAGCTCAGCAGTCTAAGCGCATGCCTGGCAAGCTCAAGGACCTGAGTTTGATCCCTGATACCGCACGCCATGCTGGCCCCGGAACCTGGGGCACGCTGTGCTGGCCCAAACAGGCGTGGTGACACAGGCCTGTAATCCCAGCACTGGGGAGGCTGCGACAGGGGGATCACTGAGTCTGAGCTGCGTAGTGAGACCCTGCAACAACAAAATTTAAATCTACTAGGGAGAGATTTGTTTTGTTTTTGTTCTCAGCTCCATAGGACAGCAGTTAAACCAGCCAGGCCTAGTAGTGAACCCTGGCTCAGAGACAGGGTTCACTACAAGTGCAGGACAAAGCTGAGCACCCTGGGCCCACTCCTGCCTGGTTCATGGGCTGCATGCAGAACTTCGGGCTCATGTCCCCAGGACCTGGTGGGGCCCAAAGTCCCAAGTTCAGTCAGTTTCCTGTCCAGCCTCCGCAGCCTGAGTTGTCCATAGATCATTAATTTAAAATGTACAGAACCAGCCAGCTGTGGTGGTGCATGCTCATAATCCCAGTGCTCTGGGAGGCTGAGGCAGGGGGATCATGAATTTGAGTCCAATCTGGGCAACCCAAGTGATATAGCAAGATGCTGTCTCAAAAAAAAAAAAAAAAAAAAGCCTAAAGTGCTGAGGGAAAAAACAAGTAAAAGGTCAGGGATGTGGCTCAGTGTGAAGGCCCTTGGTTCAAATTCCAGGACTGCAGAAAAGAAAAGAAAAATACAAAATCACTTCCATCTTGTGTGCTTTGCTTTTTGAAGTACTGGTGATTGGGCCCGGTGCCTCACCACAGAGCTGTATCCCCAGCCCTTGGTTAACATTTTAAATTTTGAGACTGTCTTCCTAAGTCACTAAGTTGCCCAGGCTGGACTCAAACCTGTGCTTGTTGAGCCTCAGCTTCCAGGTGCTGGGACTAGAGGTGTGCACCACAATATGTGGCGAGGGCTTGTGGTTTTCGTCTTTTTATCCTTCCCGTTACCGTGCCTGTACCCCACTCACCAGATGTCGCTTCAGCCAGGGTCTGTCGTGCCGCTGCCTGCAGGTGAATGAGTGAACCCCCAGTGCAGACCTAGAGTGCGTGCTCCGGGTCTTGAAGCCTTCCATTTGCTGCTGCCGCTTGCCCAGGCATCAATGTGTGCGGTTTCAAACTTCTTTCTACCCTCTCCTTCTCTTTTTGCTCAGACAAGAGCGAGAACGGCGAGGCATACCAGAGGAGGAAGGGGGTGGCTGGCGGCCCTGCGGAGGGTCCTGCTGCCTTGGCACCTGCTCGGGGGCCCCTGGCGCAGCCCAGCAGCAGCAGCTGGAGGAGAATCACACTGCTGATCCTGGCCATCACCATCCACAACATCCCAGGTGAGGACTTGCGCGCCCAGCCACTGCCGGGGGTAGCGGCGACGGTGGAGGTGGAGGTGGAGGTGGAGGTGGAGGTAGAGGTGCAGCCCCTCCTTGAACTTATGTTTTGAGGAACCTGGTGTAGACTGGTTGTTGTAGTCTAAAATGTCCTATTCCCATTCATTAAATGGCTTCTGCTCTTTCTCCCTAGGAGTTTCCGTCTTTATATATTCGGTACCAAATTATTAGACTATAATTTTATTACTCTATAAATTATTAGACTATAATTGCTATGTGATTACAGTGGTGGATGGTGCTTTTATAAGTAGATCTCTGGTTCTGCCTAATGCTTTTTAAAAATATTGAAATCAGAATTTGACACTGACTTCTCTGCTCTCGTTATGGGGGCATCTTTCTGAAATACCCTGACCAATCTTTTCCTGTTTAGCTTAT